AAAGGCCAAAAGGAAGGAAGTAAAAGTATAGTCAGGATCGGTGTTCACATAACATTTCCACAGTGCCTGGAGCTCAGGGCTATAGTCAATAGTTATGTTGGTAATAACACCTAGTCATACTATTGATATATTACTAGTCCCTCCCTCAGAATAATTAATTTGATACAAATTCCCAGAGAACATTGTTGCAATATTGATTTTCCACGTTGCAATTTCATTCTCACATTATTCAGGAAAGTATGTAGATAGTAGGTTGTATCGCATTATTATCCTGTATTAGAAGGGAAACGGGTGGGATGTGGAAGAGTTGAAAACATTCTTGAACAAATGTTGAGGTGAAGAATATATTTTGTTAAATTTGATTTGGAATCTTGGGTCACAAAAACTTCATCCTGTGGTTTCTTTGCTGAGCATGTGCAGATGATGTTGTAAACAGCACAAAGCGTTAAGGAGTTGGTGTTGCGGTGTGACTTGTGTGCCTTCAGCTGTCCTTGCTGTGGCAGAGATTAGCTGATGGTCTTCACATTGGAATGCACGCTCTAGAAAATCCCAGAGTGGGCACCCAATTGGCCTATGCTTTTGTATTAACATATTTATTTGTGGTCAGGCTCCAAACATCCATTCATTTAGCAAAGTGTCAAAAATCTAGATGAGCCAAAGACCTTATGAAGACTGTAGTTAACTGATTTGGGATGGTAGCAACAGAATGCTTTATGCAGAATAACCTGCTTATGAATGGAGTTATTTCTCCCCATGTAACAACTGTTAACTTCCATATATACATGACAGCATTCATTTGTTTACTTACTCAATTACTCCCAAATATTACAGAATGCCTACTGTGTGCTATGTACTTTGCTGGGCTTGGGGATTCAGAGATAGCATCAACACCAGTCCCTGCTCTCAGGTTTCTTCCAAACCAAAGGAGGGGTCAGATCTGCTGTAATGCAGCATGAATACTGTACTCCTGGTCTACACAAAATACCATCCAATGAGGTTTATATAACCAAGTGCGCTTTAGCCAATGTTAATTCAATCAGTATTATTGGAAAATAACAGTATTTTATTTTGGTACATATGCAGTATAACATAAAAGAATGAAATGTCTTTTCAAACTACCTAAGAAGTCAGCTTGCAATTTTTTATTTTTTATATGAAATTTTTCCTCCGATGGCAATCATAGATGTCGTTTATGAAGAAATTCCTAGCACCTTTCTCTAAACAAGTAAGGTTATAGACTTATCTTGAAATGATAGATACTTGCTTTAATTGATCCCTGCTATAAAATCAGTTTAGCAACGATACTTAGTTCCAGTTGATTTTTTTAGTTCATCATCTTAATTAAGTTTAGCCTCCCTTCAACCTTTCAGCCTTATTGGTAACTGTTACTTTTCAGCAATTTCAAAGAGATTACATTTTTAAATGATTTTTTAAAAACCTCCCTGGTAATGGTCATTAACCTTACACACAGCAGATATTGTACTTGTGTATAATTAAAGGGACCAAACATGAAGTTTTTTTCAGCAGCCCATAGTCCCCAGAAGCCAGTAGAACTTTTATCTCTAGGTTTTTTTAAAATTAGACCCATGGCTTAAAGCTAAGCAATATAGATTAGGGAAATGGTGATTTGGGCAAAATGTTACCTATTCAAAAATATAAGTGGCAGCACTTTCTTGCAAACCCAGACTAAGTTTTGCATATCTGTTTTGAATAACTTTGGTGAAATTAAGTGATTTGAAATTGGATGCAGTCAGGTAAGCTGGTGAGGCAGCTCAAAGCTATGGCAGGTCAAGGAAATCACATAAAGCGGAGTCATCCTCATTTCAATCCCCCTCATTGTAGAAACACCAGCACCATTGGCTCTGAG